ATGTGTAACAGTATATTGGTTTACAGCAGTTTAATGTTTTGAGGCTTTCTGTGTTATGAATGTTAATCAAACAACAAAACACAAAGAAAAATCACTTTTGTAGCTTTAACACGGATTTAATTTGCTGATTTACTCGCCAACAAAATCACCTCAATCATTGATTATTTTTTCCCCTAAATAAACTATTCAAGTCATATGGTGATTTTTTTTTCATATCGCAGAAAAATAAAATATCGCAATGTGAGTTTTTTCCAATATCGTGCAGCCCTAGTACACACATATAGTATGTACTCAAAAACGTTTATTTTGGATGCGATTAATCGATGCCCAGTAGGGGTGTAAAGGTACACAAATATGACGGTTCGGTACGTACCTCAGTTTTAACGTCACAGTTCGGTATGATTTCGGTACAGCAGGGGGGGGAACTTTTTTTTTTTTTTAAATGGTTTACTGAACAAGTTGCTCTTTCTTTAAATACATTCAGTTATAGTTTAAATGTTCTTAGTGATACAAATCTACCTCAGCTTATGCTTAAAACTATAGGGAGCCCTTTTACATTAGAAGGTTACAATTAGGCCTAACTATTTTTAAATAGATGATCAACACTCAACTTTAAAAAAAAATAATAATTGTATGCAAACATGTAAATTGCACATAATGCAGTTTTTAAATTAATTTATAAATAATAAAATTTCTAAGCTATTTGTTAAAATATATTCAATTACACAATGGCTGTCATAGCATGTTTCATAACAGATTAATTTAAACATACTGCACATTAAATAAGACGAACAGGTTTAGTAAAATATAATGAGTATATGGTGTAATATTTTGCAAAATGTTCCTCTCTAGTCTTCATTTCTGTAGAACTAAGGAGCTGTGGACACTGATGACTCGCTGAAGTAAATTAAATGCTGCGTGACATTTTATTTCCATGCTGTATTGTTGATGTCTTTCCGTGGTTGAAACACTGATTGAGCAATTACATGAGGTATGAGATGTTCAGTCATGTTTATTCGCGTTAAAACTAGTAGTACAGAGGAAGGAATGATCGCGTTCACTCGCGCTCCGCTCTGCAGAAATCTGCGGGGCGTCACGGCTCAGCCACGGGAACCGGAGGTGATCGCGGCCGCTCTAGTCAGTGCTTGTGTTGGGATTATACCAGCACATTTCTGAACCGTCCCAGAAGCGGCTCTCCAAGGCGTTTATACAGCGATCTGTCATGCCACATCAAAGACTGTCAAAACGGCATTTATTATTTGAATTTCCGGAGAAAACAAAAACACTGTATTCGTTCGGTTCACATGCGTACCGAACCGAAAGACCCGTACCGAAACGGTTCGGTACAAATACGTGTACCGTTACACCCCTAATGCCCAGTATTACTTTTTACAGCATTGAGAATAAACACACAGGAGCTTCCATTCTAAATATAAATTGCACTGCATGTGTTATTTAGCCTACTATGAAATAAACATCCGAAATTACATACATCTGCTTTATATCATGCTTCTCTTTAGGATATCACATTTGGACATACAAAATTTATATCAGCATTCTTACTCTTACGAATTTACTCTGTATCTTTAATCTGGGCATACAAAAGTAAAGCTTGCATCTTTCCAACTGTAACTGTTTATGAATGATGATTATATTGGCTGGTTACTGAAAACAACATTGAGTTCTCTTGCTGCAGTTACTCAGAAGCACAGAATGAGTAAATAACCGTTTACACGGGAAGCGTTCCTGGATTGCAACAGAGTAGAACAGAATGCATGCATTTCAACACTGTTTTTAAATGTTTAACTATGCTTAATTTAACTGTCATCCGAATGCTTAATGCAATGCACCAATAGATCACCCTACAGAACCCAATGCCAACAAGCAACATGTGAGCAGGCTACAAGCTATTACCAGCTGCATGTCTGGAGTCTGAATTACCACTACTGCAACAAGAGCAATAACCTAGCTCCGGTAAAAGTCTGGATATTAGGTGAGATTCACTTTAATCAAAAAGAGATGGGCCAATAAAGCTACACATTCACAGATCTGTTCAAAGCAGGTGTGTGTGTGCACCAGTCAGATGAACTTAAAGCAGGTCACAGGAATAAACAAGACTCACTATCAATCACCAGTGACTGTAACATGGTGACATAACAGACTGCACTTGCGGGCCAAATGACATCATGGCCATAAGATGATCACTAGGCTACATCACCTCCACTAATGGGGTCAGATGAGTGTCAGTTACTGTTCTGACATCACCTTTGACTCAAATTGTTTTGGGTCATGTCACAGTTCACACTGTAAAGAGTGGTGACACATAGCTTTAAAAGATAACCCTTCTAGAACTATCCCTTAAAATTATTTTAGTTGGTGTAACAAAACTTTTAGGCAGATTCAGCCAGATTAAAT